AGACAGTAGACTCATACTTGAACCACTTCCAAAATGAATAAATCAAGTGGAACCTCTTTGAACATGACTACCAATAAAACCAAATCATGCTGACAGTGTTTGGCTTTCTCAAAACAAGGCCAATTTTAGGGAAAAAAAAAATTTCTCCATAGTAAGTAATTTTTAAAAGCAATTCCTAACTCATGCATTTACTTCAAATCTGAAATTTTTATTCAATAAATATTCATTGAATGCCTGCTTCATGCCAGATCGTGTTCTACCTGCTGTGGGCTGTAAACACAAATCCTATGTTCATAGTCTGGTAGGAAAAGTTAGACAATAATAAAAAAGGGAACAAAAATGTAGAATGTTGTAGTTAGAGTGAATTAGAGTGGGGGTATAGGGAAAACCATGCTGTGGGTGAAGGGAAGGTGTTCTTGCTATGGTTTTTAACGTTTTTTTATTGAGTTATAGTCATTTTACAATGTTGCGTCAAATTCTAGTGTAGAGCACAATTTTTCAGTTATACATGAACATACATATATTTATTATCACATTTTTTTCTCTGTGAGCTACCATAAGATCTTGTATATATTTCCCTGTGCTATACAGTATAATCTTGTTCATTTATTCTACATTTTGAAATCCCAGTCTATTTTAATGAGGGCGGTCAGAGAAAACCTCACCACAAAAGTGATATTTGGGCAGGAACCTTAAGGAATAAGAAATGAAATTATATTGATATCTGAGCCCAGTGTGTTCCAGATAAAGGACAGGTCCAGAGCTAAAGCTCTGAAATGATGCACTCAATGGGCTCAAGGCTTATCAGGGAGTCAGTATGGTCAGAGGGTGGAGGAAAGAAGGGACAAAGAGGGGATGACTTTCAGTTGGACAGGGAATGCTGTAAATAATTTACATCCTTGTAAGCTAATTGTTAAGAATGTGGGTGCCATTTTGGGTGGAAAAATAACATGATTTCTTTGTTTAAAGGATCACTCTGCTTCCGTGTTCAAAATAGACTACATGGGACAAAATTGGCAGGAAGGAGACAGTTAAAACATATCGCCCAGGCAAGGGGTGCTGGTGGCTTGAACAAGGACAACAATGATGTTGGCAAGAAGTTGTTGGATTTTGAATTTATTCTTGAAGGCAGAACCAACACACTTTCCTGCCAGATTGAATATGAAATATAAAAGAAAGAGAGGTGATAAGAATGCCAAGTTTGTGATCAACTAGAAGAATGAATTTGTCATTTATTGAGAGGAGAAACCCTGGGGGAGGGGAATTTACTGGAGGAGTAGAGAGATAAGGAAACACATGTTCTCACAAAGTATTTTGAGTCAATGGGTCTAGGTTTAGGAATGGTTTTGGTGAAAATAAGATGAGATTAGTTTTAAAAAGTTTACTTGGCATATGTTGAAGTTCTGAAAGAAGCTTCTTGGAATAAATTACGCTTGAGCTAAGGTACAGAGGATTATCAGGAGCTATGGAAGTGGAGAGGAGGACAGGTTAAAGGATCTACGGAGAAGTCTAATGGGTACATGCCTGGGAGCAGGATAAACCACTGCACACCAAAACACAGTCTGCCACAGAACTTGCTTTGAAAAAGTGAATTTGTTCCATTGCAACTGATATATTAAGGAACTGATTGAGCATGACTGAATTTTGTATTTTCTTATCTGTGATTTTTGTCCATGAGGAACACTGGTGAACACAGAAAACCACATCTCACTGCACCGAGCCGTGTGGAAATACACAAAATGCATACATGCAACATCTTAAGCCACCTCAGTCCAACTGGAGTGCCGTGGGCCACACGCACCCTTCCACGTCCGGTGTGACAACTTTTCCTCCAGTTCCAGGTAGCTCTCCTCCCCCGGCCCCTCCTTTGCAGTTGTTCACAATCTGCACCCTTCTGGTCCTCACACTCGTAAACACACTTCAGGTCTCTGTCAAGGTCAAGTTCCATTTCTTTTGTAGCACGTATGCATTTCTTAAACATTTGGCAGGTGTAAACCTGTGTTCCCATTTGTATTGGTTTCTGTCTCAAGATGTGTGTGTCCCAAATGAAATGTTCGAATTATCTGTGCCCCTGGCCCCATAAGCCATGTTGTTTTATTGCATAATTTTGCACAGTGCCATGATTGTTAAGAATGCACATATCATGTAATAGAACTGACTGAAGCTGAAAGAAAGCCAGGTGCTTTGGGAGCGTGGAACAGTGCAGTGAAAGGACGGAAAGCAAGGGAAGGGGAAGAGTTGGAAGATGAAGTGGGGAGCTCGGACTGTCCAGGTCATCAGGGTCTTGGAAGATGGTGTCCATTGTTTGACTTTGTCATGAAGTTGATTATAAACCATGACAGACGGCATACTTATAATTTAGAAAGCTCTCATGGAGCGTGGAGATTGGGTAGGAGGGGAGTGAGGCTACAGTTAAGACGCTCAGTGAGGAGTGTGTCTCTTCAATATGGGCTGGACAAGATGGAGACTCGGTCGATGACAGCACAGATGGACAGAAGTGGACTAGGCAAACCAAGTTCTGCTGATTTCTACACTCATCAACAGTTTATCTGGAATATGTCCACAACTATGTGGTATTCTAGAATGAGCAAAACTGTCAAATTAAGAGTAAGAGCTCTGACTTACACTACACCCCCCGGGTATAGATGGATTAACGCATGAGATGCGCTGGGTGGGCGAAGAACATCCCTCCTGTGGCTCTGACAACAGCCCTGCAACCTCCTTAATCCCTTCTATGGTTTCCCTTTCCCTGAGCAACCCTGGTGTAAGCATCCGATGAGATCCATAGCTCCCAAACTCCATCACACCATTTTTAGGTTTCATAAAATTAGACTTTGAGAAGTTCTTTCAGGAAAGTTCCTTAATCCTTCAGTCAGCATCATGATGCCGTTTTAATGAGCACAGAGTGGATTTAGCCATGGAATTAAGATGCTTGAATGGCTTGGTTTCAGCCCACACTTTATCAAACCCAAATCACAGTCCCTGCGGTCTAATTGCACCTATTTCAGAGAATCAAATGTAACTTTTTTTCTGACTTTCTTTCACATTCAAGGCAGGAGTGAAAGGGAAACACTGACCATCCCGTCACCTTCTTAGGCTCTGATTCAAAAGTGCCCCTAAAGTTTATAGTAAGACCTCAAAGCAGAGGCTCAGTATTCAGTGCTGTGATCCTACCCGTGTCTCATTCCAGACGAAATTACTTTCTGGGAATCTCTTAAGCCCCTCACCCATTTCGTTCCAAGCAATTTCCTCTCCCAGTGTCCTAGAATGCAACCGAATGTTTTGATTCTGTAGACCTGTTCCACAAGCAAGGCTGCGTGGAGAAAATACTTTCATCAGAGCGCAGAGACTGAGCTCTGGGAACATCGCTCCAAGCAGAAGACCTGCCCGATGGCCAAAGGTAAGGCGTGGGGCTCCCGGGGCGGGGCTCCGGCTTGAGCATCCTGTCCGTTTCTCTTCTTCTCACGGTAATTCTGCGGAGTGCTTAGAGCCTGACTTCATCTGCCGTAGCGCTTTATTATTTGATTATGCTCAGGTAAGCTAATTACTAGTAAGAAGGTAATGAAAACCTGAAGCCGGCAGTTAAGTGGCAGCGAGCAGTTCAAGCGTAATGGGGGTTTTAAGCGTTTTCATTTTCCTCCCGTTTTGCACACTGTGAAGAGCCATCTCCTGCTCCTCTGTCTAATGCCCTTAAAATCAGGAATTCATGCAAAGGAAAAAATCATCAGGCCAAAAGCGGCTTTCTGCCAGCATGCCAAAGGACACTTTTTCAGCGATTCAGCTGAGCTGATGCTCAGCTAAGTTTTATTTCTTTGATGTGTTTGCTTGAGTTATTACTGAAGCTTATGATACTCGGCCTAAGGGGATTTAAACAGAACTTAACATATACAAATAACTATCTTTCCAGCCAGAAAAATCCTACAGTCCTAGAAAAAGAAGTCTGCTGCGCCCTGCATGACGATTGGATGACGGCGGATTAGGGTTCGAGTATAGCCCAGGGAATAGCATTCAGACTCAAGTCTGCAGTGGGATCAGGAGAAAAGAGACTAGAAGATCTGAGAGGCCTCCGTGTCTCCTCTGAAGCTTAGGGGGTAAGGGGAGCAGGTGACAGGACACTAGGGAGAGGGTGGGACCGGGACACGCAGGGCCCAGTCACCCTCACTGTAGTAGGCAACGTGCAGCTACGGTGTGAAGCAGGGGAAGCGGTTTGGCTCTTATAATGGGAAGGGCTTGAAGACGGTAATGAGTAAATAAGGGGAAACCAGTTTAGAAAAAATAGTCTAGAAAGAAAAGCTTATCTGTATGATAATTTTCCTAGGGCTGCGGTAACAAAGAACCACACACTGCATGGCTTAAACAACAGAAACTGGTAGTCTCAGAGCTGCGGAGGCTGGAAGTCTGAGATCAAGGTGTCAGCGAGGCTGTGCTCTTATTACCAGGTCCAGATTCGGTCTGCTCACTGCATGACAGGCCAATACGTTGGGAGACAAGATGTTGGGACAAGGAATACCGACTTTATTCAGAAAGCCAGCAGATCAAGAAGATGGGGGACTAATGTCCTGGAGAACCATCTTCTCCAAAGTCAGAATTCAGGCTCCTTTTATACTAAAAAGGGAAGGGGGCGTGATTGGTTGTTGCCAACTTCTTGGTGTTGGAATTCATTGTTCTCACAGCTGTCCACGTAGGTCAGGTCATGGTGTCTCCGTAAACCTCTAATGAAACAAATGTGATTTTCTGATCTGCAGCTTTCTATGAACGGAAAAGTGTGAATACGCTTAGAAGTCAGAGCCTTGAGAAGGGACTCTCCTGTGTATTTCAGGCTCTGGGCAAGATTCTTTTGCAAAAGGTGCAGAACCAGCACGACCGAGCCCAGGA